GGGTAAAGAGGTGTGCTGGATTCATTTTCTCAATGTACTACATGATTCGTGGATCTCTTTACTCCTAGAAAGAATGAGGACTTATACCCGATGAAAAGCATGTTCTTTCTCGTCCTCCTTCACTGAACCCTGATTTGCAGTAACCACCCGCTGCAGCGCAGATTGCCTCGGGGGAGCACGAAAGTGGCCGATAGTGTGTGGCCGATTCTAAACGGTTTTGCATGCGTTGTTCACTCTTTGTCACCCATGTTCACCTTTCGTTCTCCGTTTACAAGCAGTCTTATGTCCAGTCACTTGCGATTTCTCCTCAGTACCATCTGTCAATCGAACACTACAGTGAGTATATATCGAGCTATATACGTACTTCGACTCTTCTGACTACAGACTCAAATGTTTTGTCTTCCGATCTCTAGGTATGGTGTCGTAGCATAAATCTCTCAAATGAAGACTGCCCGTCTCTAGTCCTCCTTGAGACAATTTCAGCACGATTCATACGGATAAGATGAAAGGTTTTTGATGAGATTTCAGTAAGACTGTCGCTGATGTTTGCAAAATGCGTGTCCTTCACACAAAGACCGATCCAAGAGCACAGTGACCATAAGTTCTATATACGTGTTGATAGGACAACGCATGTGCGACGATAATTGAAAGTCAAATGCTAGTAGCAACCCGGGAAATGTGTTCGGAACCGGTCTACAAGCAGAAACACTTGAAACGGCTGCTTCCATGCCTTTCCATCTCACCGGTCTTAATGATTAATCTGCGCTGCCGCGGATCATCACGGTTGTAGTGAATTGAGACATACCCTGTTAACAGCGGGTACTAAAGCTTGAAGCTTGAAGGCCTATGAGACTAATGTTAGCAATTATTGCCAATTACTTGAGGCTATGCTAGTCACAATCGCTGAGTGGTGGATTATAGTGCGCGTGTTGCTAAACACCAACTGCGCAACCTCAGTACCACTATCAACTTAAGCTGCGGTTGTGCATCCAATTATATACTCCAGATACAGGCTTGCTTGTGCAAGGAGACTCAAAGGAAAGACCATGGAGCCAAGTATAGATCCGTCGGTCCAGGGTAGTGCGGTTACGGTATTGCGCAATTGCCAAGGAACGTGGACGCCTCGGGTAGAATGGTGATGGGCAGGGTCCGTCGGTCGACCATTATTCTGCATCCTACCGTGCAAATCAATGTCTGATCGTTACACACAATGAAGGGACGGCCCTGAACGTCCGCAGCTACAAGAGCCTGTGTTCGACGGACGGAGATGAAATCCGTGTTGGTGGCGTGGTAAACGGTGGGAAGTCTGTGCACCTGGACCAAAAGTCTGGCAGCACTTCCCGTACTCGTCGTATTCCACGATGACCACGATCCTTTCTCCGTCGTGTTGCCCGGTCTTGAGGTCTTTCATTTTCCTGTCATTTTCCGTGTCTTTCCTTTCGACATACGCACAGCCCGCAACACTTCCGTTCTATGACTGTTTCTCAGGAAGTGCATCACAGAAACTTTCAGTTGACACAGTGTACTCGCAAATAATCAATGGACAGACGCTGAATATCACAATTTTGGGGAATGCCTCCCAGCAGATTGTCGCATCTTCTGCTAACAGCACCAGCCTTTGTACGCATACTTGCTCGTGTGCTTTAGCAGCATAACTCATGTTCTTCCCTCCAAGCTACCCTCTTCACGGAAGCCACGACGCTCACCATGAATACCTTTAGTAATAACTCTGCTTTGTGCGATACATTACGCCCACCTTCTCCTCTGCCATCTCTCGGTGGAAATTCCACATATTGTCCCATACCTGCAGGGCAATTTGCACTCTCTGCATCCATACCATTCAATACCCAGAATTCTTTGACAACTATGGACACAGAACTCCGAGCTGTCGACCCATCTGGAAACGAGATATTATGCCTTAGCGTTACAACCACGCCACTTCACCCTGGACCACTTGATTCGCCGTATGGCAATGCCCACATCATATTCTGGGCAACAATTGCTCTTGCAGCAACTTATTGGCTCATTGTTGGGTTTGCTCGGATCGTATCTGCTTGGAGTCGAGGCTTTAGTAGACCTGGTCCGGGCATCTGGCACCGGTTTGAGAGTACTGGGTTCATTCTTGCTAGTGCCATCAGCGGTGAGCGTTTTTCAACATCACCTGCATTGATGAGATTTTGTAAGTAATTTTACATGTTCTGTTCGTATTTTTGCGGTGCTCATGGTTCATCAGGCTCCCCATCATTGCGTGACATCATCTTTCACACGCAGTGGTGTGCAGCCCTAGCTATGGTTGCTGTTCAGTGGCCGCCCTTTATTTGTGAGTAGCAATTCAGAATTTGATATACACCACACGTGCTCATGAATTTCAGATCCTCTACTTTCGCAAACTGCCTGGGCATCGCTGACGTATAGTAGGTTTAGATCTGAATAGTGCCGTACGAACTGCTAATGGTCTGTAGACATCACATTGAACGCACATTCCATACACTGGAATCCGCTGAATGTCCAACCGTATAATCCACCATCAGACTTCGCCGATCAGTTGGCCGATCCAACTTCTGTTATCTACATTGACCAGTCAATTCCGAACACAATTTTCCTACTTCCACCGAACACTACAACTGGGATGCAATCCTTTGCATGGAGTGTTGGAGTACAACCCCAAGATCTCTTTGCGATCTGCTTAACCCTGTTCTTGGCCATTATAGCTGGGACAATCTTCCTCAGTCTGTTCCTATGGACGGTAGATTGGATATTTTCACAACGGCCGTCAGGCAGTTTATCAAGTTCTGCTGTGCTTACAAACGCAGCGAGCAAGGGTCATATGCCGCGGCTTTCGGCGGGCAGTAAGGACATGCTCGACACAAGTGGAGATGAGAGCAGATCATCAACTGGATTTGGCCACAACTATACTTTACTCAGGAGACGCTTATTTCGACCAGAAGTCAGCTCTTTTCACTCTAGCGTGCTCATAGGAAACCTTGTGCGCGTTCTCGTCCTTTTTCATTTACCCGTCACCATATTCTCGTGCTACGAATTTTCAACAGGAAGTTCAACGTCTTCAGTAGCCCTTGGTGCTCTCTCATTCGCACTCTTCTCTGTAATCGCTCCTTCTCTTCTGCTCCTGCGGCTAAGCCGGACGTCAACAACCAAATTATACGATGAAACACGCACTCTTCTTGCTTTAGGTCCACTCTACAATCACTACCGCCAGAATTCGCAGCTTTTCTCAGGCTTGCTTTTCCTGTCCAACCTCGTCCTCGGGGTGACTATAGGGTGCGGACAGCACAGTGGAACAGCACAAGCGATTGTAATTTTGGTGGCAGAAGTTGTTAGCGCTTTGGTCACGAGCGTATGGTTACCATGGGGTGCAGGAGCAGGCATGGGCCTCATCAGCTTCCTATTTTGCGTTGCACGTATCGTGGTTGCCGTGCTGCTAGTTATTTTGACCCCAACTGTAAGGCCACCCGTCTCCGTGAAGTCCAATGCTAACAGCTCGTTCAGATTTCAATAGGCGCAGGCGCAGGCGGTTGGGTAGCCTATGGCATACTGATCGTCCTTTGCCTTGTTTATCTTACGTTGTTTCTGATTCTTGTTATCAAGGTCATCGAAGCTGTTGTGCGCATTCTTGGTCGGGTCGGCTTTGATCACTCCAGACGGCCAGTCGATAGCGGATTGATCGGTGTGCTTTCTCTTCTCGGATGTTGCGGGCCACGGAGAGGTGGTCGCGAACGAAGACACTACAAAGCCACGGAAGTACGACATTCACCCGTTGCTCGAGACTCTTTCGCTGCACGTGATTCATCTCCCTATGTGCCACCCAACGCATCTTTCGCGCAGAAAGACAAAGGTTCCAGCTCCTCTCATCATTCTGGTGGGCCCCCGCCATCAGTATTGCGGCCCGAGCATGCTCTGCAGCCTTACAGAGAGGACAGCGATGATGATGCAGAAAGTGGTTACATAATGGGCGCGTGGCAACCATTCCCAGGGCCAGGTCCCCGTAGCTCATACGACCGCACATCCATTAGTACACCTCCCCAACACTCCAATTCAGGTTTCTCCCGCATCGGTGGCGGTCGCGCCCACTATGACTCACCATACGCGATTGCCAGCGAGACTGGGGGGAGCTCAACTTTCACGTTCCCTAGCATGGAACGCAAGCGCAGTGGGCCGGTGTCTGTTGGCACACCAACGAAGACGATCTATGACGATGAAGAACTACCTACTCCAACTGCTTCCATAGCGAATGTTGCGCGCCTTCCTGCGCTCATGGGCTCTGGACTGCCTACTGGAGCAATGTTGCCACACATGCGCACGAAGAGTCAAACAGCAGTTATTATTGGAGATGTAGCTGCATTGAATGCAACACCTGTAAATGCTCCCATGCAGGAGGAGCATCCTTCGATGGCGACCAAGACGAATAGCGGGGAATCGAACAATAGTGATCCTGACCAGCCAAAGAAGAGACATTGGTACAACATTCGAAGGAATCGTAGGCACAGCGAGGGTGATCGACTGGATAGTGGGGTGAGTGAGGTGGAGCCTGAAGGCAGTTCATCTCCCAAGGATTCTGGAAAGTCGTTCGTCGTTATCCGGGCACGGAAGCCCCAATCATCTCAACCCGATACTCATCCACAAATTCATAAGGTTAGATACTCAATGGACGAAACTGGAGGAGGACCTTCTTCACAAGCAAAATCTCTGAAGCCATGAATTGACATTATAATGTGTATACACGCCTTTTATGCTTTGTTTTTACCTTGTCCTACTTTGCATTTATGATGTACCACCTTGCGATTCTTACGGTACGCATCATCTCTTGCATATGTAATATTTACTGCACTCCTGTATCTGAACCACTCTGTTTTGTGTTAGTGGTACGTACGGTTACAGTACTTGATTGATACATGCCCTGACATGAGATAAATTAAGTTGTCGTGATTAAACCGAAATAAGATGTCCACGGAAGTTCAGAGTTAGTGAAAGGTTAGGGTCGTTCAGCCATCCACAGGACTGCTGGTGTCACTTCCTAACCAGAAGATTCGCCAGTCCTGCCACTCCTTCCGCCACCACCCATATACACCTTCCTCGGCTTTCGCGCGCGATAAGAGTTCCTCCGTCTCAAACGAGCTGGTGGACATGGTGGACATGGTGGACATGGCGGAATTCATTCTCTCCAACTGAGGCGCGCCGATGTAACGACGCCAACGTCCTCCAACCGTGAGGAATCCAGCCTCGCCGAGTGGATTCTGCGCAAAGGGAGGCTCAGGAAGTACCTTGCCTTTACCCTTACAATTCCCGGAAAGGTATGATAGAGGCACTTCGTGTGCCTCGACGCCTTCATCGCCCATCCCAATCAACTGTAAGAAAGGTTCAGGGACTTCTTGTGGACTGCCCGACGCTGGCAGATGCGTTCGAACAGTCACGCTCGAAGGCGGGAAATCCCAGGTTATGGTGTACAAAGGAGGCGTGGCTTGGATACATGCGGGAAGGGGGGCAGCAACGATGTGTGTGATTTTGCCACGCGTGAGGACAAAAACGCTGCTGTAGGAGGCACCAAGGTGAGGAATATGTATGATTGGGATGTCGGCTTTTGAGGGTAGAACCCAAGCGCCTTTGTGTTCTTTTCCAGCCGCGAAATCGACCGAACCTCGAGACCGACGACTTGGGAGAGATCCTCCAGTGTTCACTGTCAGGCTGGATCCACTGCCACCTACAGGGGAAAGATTGCTGACGCTTCCTCCACTTTCGAACATATCCACTTCCGTGACTGCTGAATCAGCTACTCGTATGATTCCAGCCCTTTTGTCGAACACCACAAAAATTGCTGTTTGGGCTTCATATGCGATGTTCACAGGTGCAGCTACGGGTGTACGCGGGTTGCTCGAGGTATCTGCGGAAGCTACACGGTTGTGACTATACCCAACAGTCGTTCGAGAAGATCCGACATCAGACAGGGATCGAAATGTATCTTGTACGCATTGCTGAACGAAGGTAAGAGAGCGTGGCGGGGATGGAGTGTAAAATTCCTGTAGAGTCTTGTAGTCAAATTAAACATCAGAAGATCGATACACACCTTCACGAAATGAAAAGCCCTCTCCCCTCTCGGAGTCTCGTATAAAAGTATGTTGGTCTTGGTTGCCACAGCTAGCAGTGCACGACGAGTGGAGCTCGTGCTACCTTCGTGCCAGAGGGCATAGGAAACCACGCTAGTATTCGACATTCTGGACCCGGTCGACGAGAGTGACGTAAAATCAGTAGCCCAGCGCAATGGTAAATCGTCAACGACATCCCAAGATGATTCCCTTTTTGGTGGTATCGACTGGCGATTTGTATTTGATGTTGGAAGGAAACTGGATCGTCGCTTACGAGTGGGGGGCTCGGTGATGAGATTTCGTAAGCCTCTCGTGATACTATTTGCTGGTCTGTGCTTCTTCACTGGTGTCTCTTGGGGATGCCAGTCTGACAACCTGTGCAAATCAACTGGCTGTGCGTCCTGGCATAGCAAAGTGAATACGTGGGATGACATGAGGGAAGACTAAGTGACTATCTCACTTGATGCGCGATGGTCCACCTCGCCAGGCTGGTCAGACTTGCGAGTTTATACATTCTGAGAAAGCGCGGGGATTCTTGATGCGCGCCAGGAGATAGAGAATCTTCGAGCTCAGGACCGACCAAAGCAAGTACGACCCCCTGCGGGGCACTTTCACCGGCGTCTTCGTACTCCAACAGCGACAACTGGTAAACACTGTAATATACTGTCCGTTAATAGCTAGGCAAGGGGAATATGAATGATCGTTTACTTACGCCTCTCCTGTCCACATTACTTTGGCCTGTGCGTCAGCAGGTCCCTTCTGGATGAGGCCAGTCACCCCATCAGGACTTGTCTCATCAGCCCACTTTGCAGGGAACATGTTAAGGACTGACAGCCCGACATCGGTGCCCATGAGCAGGAGACGATCATGCTGGAGAGGAAGAATACATCTGATAGGCGCAGTTGAGTGTGGTAAAAAACGGGATCCGAAATGATGGATTGAGAGATGAGTTGGGGACAGATGTTCCTCTGGTATGTGCAGAGAAGGCTCCAGAGATGGTTCGGGGGTTGTGCATTCATCGCGAAGTACCTGCGGAGGAGGAGGAAGATCTGCATTTATTGTTAAGCGCTGCAGTGTTGAGCTGCGACACTCTGGGATAAAGTCGTCTTGATATTCCTCCGAGTCCTTGTGCGATGCCAGATGAGTAAATCATCATAGCATCATGAGGCAGAATGGACACATACAGCAGCTTGCGAAGACCCATCTTCACTCCAGCCTCTAGCTCGCCTGCGCTGAAATTCCTCGGCAGTGACGTCTGCATAACGCTCTGCGGCTCTAAATTCCGATCAAAAGCTAGCATACTGACCAAGGCTAGCATGCTCACCTCTTTTCTATCCAGCCTCTCCAGCGACCAAAGCTACCATCAGTGAATATGTGAGATTATGTCGATCAACGGGTTCTCCTGTCTGCGCACCGTGAATTTGGACCACTTTGAGCTGCAACATCGTTGTAAGTTGGAAGGTCTCCTGAACCCTGTTCATCTCGCTCAGCTCCCTGAGTGTAAGTCTCAAAACTCTCAACAGTGCCTCCTGGCGACGTGGACATTTCTGTTACCAAATCTACAGAGTCGGCGCTCAGCAGATACAAGGTGTGTTTGTTTGTAATGTGGCTAACCGGCTGTGCAGGAAAGGAGACAAAGTAATGGCAAGTTAAAACTAACAATACACACTACTAGCGTGCAGATTTGCGTAAAAATACTTTATGATTGAACTGGCTGTCATTGTTTTGGTTAAGGAGAGTCATTTCAAGAAAACGCCAGTCCCGTGAATGTCGCTACAGCGCCCACCAGTGCTCCGCCAGCGGCAACACCGAGATTCCCCTTTTTCTTCCGCCCTTTCTCTTCTTCCTCCGTCAGACGTCGTTGAAGGAATTCTGCTGCATCTCCCTCCTTAGCCAATATAACCCATCGGTGCTCTTGTGAGCTTCCATTCGGCAGCATTCGGACGCTGAAACCTAGTTTTTCTGCGTCATACTGTACAGCCTTGAGATCGATCAATGGGACAGAGAATAACATGGCAGGTGCAACCCCTGATGATTGCGTGAGATTATCGAGGAATAATGATCTCTCATCTGCGCTCATTGTTCGTGCCAAAGGATTTGGCTTCCTTTCGCTATCGGCATCAAGGAAGACAGCTTTGTTCATATCAATGAAGTCACTTGTGGGGTGGCTAGAAAGTGGTTCTGTGGACACTAGGCTCGCAGTCGGAGTCCGCAGCGTGCACGGCATAAGACGTGACAGGCCGGTACCCGGACTAGCATGACCAGTTGCGTATGGCTCGTTTCCCGCCCTTGAGCTGATTTCTGGAGCTTCTTCCGGAGGTGATTCAGGACTAGTTAAAGTCCGTCTCCATCGCATTATTGCTCTCTGACCATCGCCATCGCCATCGCCATCGCCGCCGCCACCACCATCATGATCTTCACCGTCGAACACGTTACTCATCATTCCTGGTTGGAGAAGTCTCTCTACGATTTCGGAAGATGTGGTGGAGAGTGAAGTGAGACTTCCCGCTGGAAGAAGGGCAAAACGAACAGAGAGTCGGCGTTTGAGATTCTTGGATTGGGTGGGTGTTTCAGTGGAAACGGAAGAACGCTCGTCATTGGAATTTACAATGCGCAAGGATGACATTTCGTCCACGATATCTTCTGTGGCACCGCTAGTCTGATCCGACATCGTAGGCTCAATATAAGGACAGCCGGAGCGAGGATGTCCCTGCCTGGGTCGGTGGCATGTCTTGCAGTGGGGAGCACGGCGCGGAGACGTGCCTGGAGTCGAAAGATCTGTGGTCATTCCAACACTAGAGCAAGTTTTGGCTTTAGATGACGTTGATAGTGAATTTGGGTTGGCAGAACGAGTGACAGGCATCATTCTGCCAATCAGATAAAATTGTATGACGAGTTAGAGAGTAAATGAATATGAACAACAACCTGAGAGTTTCTGTTGCGAGTCAAGGGCAAGGTATTTAACGCCCTTTGATGATTCTCTCCTCTGCAAAAAGCACCTTCGGAGTTAAATAGTACGATCGATGAAAGTGGCTGTAAAGACAATAGACTTTGTTTAGTCCAAGAAAGCTCCATTAGTGAATCTTTGGATGTTCTCACTGGTGTCCAAGACGACTATATGTCAGACGCACGTTGATCTGCTCACAAAAGGCGTCGCGACCGTGATTGATTTGTTAGGCTCCTGAATTATTAGTCGAAGTCACGTGTGCGATTGTTGTCAACGGTAAACCTTCAGCGTCGTGACCTGGTACTAGCTACTACTAAGTTCAGCGTCCAGACATGCTAGCAGAACGCACCAGTGCTTTGCACTTGAAGCCGAGCGTCCTTCTTCTCATCAACAAAAATTGGTTTAATTTTGTTCTTAGTTTATTTCCGACATGCGGCTCATGCCACTCATCATTCTACCAGATATGATTTAATACAGGGGAACGTTACATTGGGCATTGTCCCCTCATTACTCCATCAATGGCCCGTGCATGGTAATGTCCAACTTTGCTTTATAATCACATATCGCATCTTTGGGACGACGGTGTTGTCTATGTGGACCGACACCGTGACATATCCTGACTTTCAAAAGCTCCAGAATACGTCCACTACCGCGAATTGTACTACATCACAATCAATATTTTGGATGCTACTAGACACCAATATGTGAATAAATGTATGTATGGTGTATGTCAGTCATGGTTTCTACGGTCTTGTCGATGCTCCTCATAGCTGGTTCAAAGGGCGTGCATCTGCCAACTTCAACTTTACTACAACACCCTACCTTTGGTTAATCTGTTAATCTCTGCGAGCCTCTTTATCCAGCAAAGTAAGCCACGATTTTTGTGTCGCTGGCATGGAACTGATTTGACTATATAGAAGCAGTTATTTTTTGCCATCATTTGCTCTATGAATATATGGCTTAATGATCAAGGCTCCGAGTCAGTCACGCTCCGCCGTGACCTCAGCACACATCGCCATCTATAACCCCACCGGTCTGTAATAGGAGGCTCCTTTCAACTGTCATCCACGGAAGTCCAAGGAGCCCTCGAACACGGAAAGTCTACCCTCATTTGTGCTTCAAAGTTTCACCAGGGACACACTCGAACGCTCCTGATTTCGAACTGACACTTCCTTGCTTCAAGTGCTAGTGAATTTAGCAAGCACCGGCTTTACCTCTCTCATGTTTTGTGTACGCCTAAATGACAGGATGCCCAGTTGATAATTCATGCATGCCACACGAATGGCAGCGTTTATTAACGTTGCCTTCACAAGACATCTCAAGACAGTTCAATAATTCCAAACTTAACCGGTTAACCCCCTATTTTGGTGTATTTTTCAAATCAGCTACTAAAAAGTCCCTTAAGCGATCATGTGCATAAAGACTAACACAGCATGCAGTGAGTCGTGGTTCTCTAGTTTGTTGCGGGGGTCGGTGTTCTCACCTGACAGCAAGACAGGTTGTCAGCCGCTTACACTCAAGAGCGAGAGCCTGGATTTACGCAATTTCTCCCGGTCAGAACGAACTCAAGTATTACCAAAGTTCGGTTCTTGCCGTGACCGTCCTCATAAGATTTCATGCTGCCCAAAAGGACACCTTCCATATATCCGAAGTCTCGCATGTCATTACATTACATGCAGACTCTGGCGGTGTTAAGACACAGTCATAACAAAAAAAAACATACTTCTTATTACTCATTCCTGTCATCTCTTGTCATGGTCGCCGCGTCGCTTCTTGGATGTTTTAGATTTCTTCGATTTTTTGGATTTTTTGGATTTCTTCAGGGCTTTTTCTTCTTTCCTCTGTGCCAAAATGTAGTCCCGCATAGGATCTTCAGGATCGATGGAAATAACCGAAGATGCATCTGAATCCGATGCTTGACCTCCATCTGGGACGGCAACACGCATTAAAGTCTGCCTGCAATTTAGGAAGGGGGCCACTCACCAATGATCATCTCTGGCCTGGCATTCAGACTCTGTTCTTCAGGTTCCTCCCATTCTCCATCATCGCCTTTCACCTTTGGCTGTTTATAGTTCTTTACGTGGTCTACACGCAGCGTCTTGCCCAGTACATTGGCACCGTTGAGGTTATCGACAGCCAACACGGTGGACCTTTGATCTTCATACATAAGGAAGGCAAATCCCCTCGGTTTTCCAGTCGTTTTGTCCCGAGGGAGATTGACATCCATAACTTCCCCATACCTTTCCAAGCGGTTCAAACGACATTCAGATAGCTAGAGTGATTGACGCACTGGGAAAATATGGTGATCACGTCACCTTCAGTCAAGTCAAAGTGCAGACCGCCGATGAATACATACGCAGAATCTAGTGTAATGCGCGCGTCAGAGCACCGGAACACTGCAGTGAACTGCGACTCACCCTTGTATTCATCATGCCATGAACCTGAAATCCCGAGTTCAAGTTCACGCTCATTAATCTTATTTATTTCCCGAACGACGCTGCCAAAATTCAAGAATTAGATGGAATAGACTTCGGAAGAAACGATCATAGATTCATACCCACTTCATGACTGTAGAGGATGAAGACGAGATTCCCACGCCCTCCTGAACTCAAAATTTCGGTAGCTCATCTTGTTTGCCATCAACGCAGACCACAATGGCTTCCTTCACTTTACCGCCAATTCATGACAATCCTGATGGAGGATGGGGTCCATCGTCTTCTAACATTCCTGAACAGTTCAAGTTCAAGGACATTCCATATGCGCCATACTCAAAGTCTGATAAGCTCGGCCGCTTCGCTGATTGGAATGATACCACAAGCGATACTCGCCAAACTGCAGTAGGACTTCCTTCAACAAGGGATGCCCGCGGTCCAGGTCGCTCAAGAAGAGATGGTGCTCAGGCATTCGGCAGTGGGACTGCCAGTGCTTTCGCTTACTTCCATGTGGAAGACGAATCCAGCTTCTCTCTGGTGGACAATAAAGCTGCTCCTCCACGCAGAGGTGGGTTCACCCGTGGAAGGGCTACTGGCCGTGGCGGTATGTCCTTTACCAATCGGGGGGTTGCTCAACGAGGTGGCCGTGGTGGTTTCAATAACCGAGGGGGCGCACAGCGTGGGGGTCGGAAAGGATGGAGAGATTGGGAAAAGGTTCACTGCGTGTCCTATTTACTCCTAGCTCAACTGATATTTTCATGGATCAGACAAATCGCACCCGTGAATCGTCTGTTGCAATTAGTCCACAATGGACCATGTTGGAGGAGATCGAGTTCCATCGGCTTGCCAAGCTCAAGCTTGAGGTTGATGAGCCGGAAGATATGTGAGTGTTTCTGGTTCTTCTGCTATCGTTCCATATCGAAGACAATCAATAGTGACACTTACGGCCGCGTTTTTGCGTATGATAAATCATATGATCGAATTACAACGAAGACCGAACGTCCGTTACAACTCGTGGACCGCATTAAGTATAATACTACAACTTCTGATGATCCCGTCATCCAGCAGGTATGTTCTGCTATCTTTACGCCTTATGACACCTAATGTCGCACATAGTTAGTCTCCAAAAATGTTGCTAATGTCTACACGACGGACGCTATTTTGTCGGTCCTCATGTGTGCACCTCGATCAGTCAACCCTTGGGATATTGTCATTCTCCGTGAGGGTAATAATCTGTACTTCGATAAGCGTGATGGTGGTCCATTTGACACTGTTACGGTGAACGAAAACGCTTCGGACCCTCCACAGGACCCTGCACCCCCAAACCCAAATAACCCGGCCGAGAAAACAGCGGTTCCAGAGCCACCATCCATTAATTCAGCCACGTCACTTTCTTTGGAGGCGACTTACATCAATCAAAACTTTGGATTCCAATCTGTTCAGGAAAACATCACGGCAGACTTTGCCCACCCCAACCCATTTTATGGCCCAGAAGAGACAGAGCCTTTAGCATCTTGCGGATACCGCTACCGTGTTTTCGACCTCGGTATCACGGAGGACGAAGATGTGAAAATCTGTATCCGCACTGAAGTGGATGCTTATGTTCCCGGACCAGGAAATCCACAAGAGGGCCACGGACTGGTCACCATTCGTGCATTGAACGAATTTGACCCCCGTGCTCAAGGAGCAGGCGGTGCTCCTGACTGGCGGTCCAAGCTGGATTCACAGCGTGGCGCTGTAGTTGCTACAGAAATGAAAAACAATAGTTGCAAACTTGCCAAGTGGACTGTACAGAGTGTGTTGGCAGGAGCTGAACTAATGAAAATAGGGTAAGCACCGTTTCTTATTTGAACTTTCAAGCACTTTGTTCTTTTTGTGTTTAACAACTCCCAGTGTCGAACTTTTTTGACCTGCGTTCATAGTTATATCTCGCGTGGAAACCCTAAAGACAACACGCGACACGTCATTCTGAGCACAGCTTCCATGCGTCCAACCGACTTTGCTGCTCAGTTGAATGTCTCTCTCGCCAATGGCTGGGGCATAGTCAGAACGATCACCGATTTATGTATGAAAATGCCTGAGGGCAAGTACGTCCTTATTAAGGACCCCAATAAGGTAAAAGTCACACCACTCTATTTGGGTCCATTCTAATTCATATATTTCAGTCGGTGATCCGTCTCTACGCTGTGCCTATGACTGCTTTCACTGTCGAGGACGAGGACGGCGAGGGGTACGAAGGGGATGAACCCGAGTCCGCGGCTTGAAGATACTCTTTCACACCGAGCTATGTGTCTTAGTGTCAAAAATATATATGCAATCCAAGAATGCGTGAGACACTGTTTACAAAGAGATGTATGCGACGATGTTCAAACTGAAATCGTCAGGAAGCCAAGAGTAATTCAACTGCTCTCTCGATGTTTGGACTACAAATCGCATGTCAGAACCTGACACTATCTTTGGAATAATAGGAAAGCTAACCTCCTTTGTAACGCCCCGACGATAACGGCTCGTTGCATATTTGGGAACATTGTTGTCAACTGAGTAATCTCAGCGTCAGTCGGGACACGAACCCCTGTGGTGCCTTGCTCGTTCCTCCCCGTGAGTTCGTTAACCCATTCCCGCATGACAGAACCTCCCGTTTCTTCTGTGCCTGCGGAAGGACGCGCGGTGGCAATTATCTCTTCATTCCCGACGTCAGGGCTTGGCGCTTGATGGGTTGTTTCGGGACGAGCGCGGGTAGACCGTCGTGGTGCGCGAGTAGAGCCCACTAATGGAAGTAAGAAACGCGTACTAAAGCGAATTACGGACGGGGATAGTCGCCAGCTTTTAATATTGACTAGTTCTGAACGATAAATGTAGCCAGTGAGTAGTCCAACGACCGCCGAGGCAAATGAACCCGGAAGGTGCCCTAAAGCAAGCTGATGATAGTTATATTAACGATAGAACGTGGACCAAATCCAGGTATTACCTGAGAAGCGAGTATGTACATGAATGCTTTATTGCTTCCAGCAATTCCAAATATTCGAAAATGGTACGCTGGAGGAATTAGCCTATACCACTGATATAGGATGCTGAACAGTAGCGCCGATGGACCAGATGGGATCTGGTTGATTCCCATATTGTGGAATAGTATGAGAGCAAGAAACTCTAGTATCGTTGCAAGTAGAACGGAGGCGACGGTAAATGACTTGATTATAGGTTAGGGCATCAACATCAGAACGGATATGTTGCTACGCACCGCGAATTTGACACTTCCAAACTGACGTTCTACATGTACACCGACGCCATATAGCACAATCACAGCAATGAGGAGATCGCTTGAATTTGAGAACGCAGTATGGTGAAGCAAGAGACGCCAGTACTGTAAAGAAGTAGTTCTAGTTCAGATTCAGTTTTATGAAGCATGAACGGACTTCACTCGGATACCTGATGGTTGCGTGACACGTGAGGCACGAGCTGCAAGAATATAGTTAGCTGAGCTTCTGTTTTACTGATCAAGACTCGAACCTGAAGGTGTAAGTAGTGCTTGACATCGAATATGCCACCGACAATGGATGTCAATGCACTACCCATCATGAGACCTGTAACACAGTAGGGAAGAGTAAGTGAACTGGTTCATGAAGTGAAGCAGCCTCGTTAAACCTTTGGTGACGGGAGCGTGCTCGAACGACATGATGATGCTTGGGAGGACTCAAGAGTAACACGTTGAGGTCGCCGGGTGCTGGTGGGTAGGTTGCGCATTCGGTCGCTTCAGACTGTGGCTGTGCACTTTTCTCCTTGGCTGTGATGATATGATTTGCCTGATGCACGGTACTCATTATCTACTAGTCAAGGATCGGGTCCGGACGGACTTGAACTCAAGTAAGCACCGTATGGCATGACTCCTACCCGCTAACTTTTGTTCACCTAGTCGTTGTCTTGGCGCAAAGAGACAGTGTATCGCTCGCGAAATTCGAATCCTGCGTGCATGCCACTGCAGTGCTACATGCATTGACATAACTCGTGTATTAGCTCGGGCCACTAGGTGCACATGAAAGCATGAAAGCCGTTCCGATCATGCATATCATAGGACTCGAACGTGTTCTCTACTCGTCTTATCGACTCATCTAGAATTCTCACTATCTCAACTAGAACTCCATAATCTTTATCGATGGCGGCCATCCCGTCTGGTCATTTTCCCTGGTCGCTTTGGTAAAGAAGCAGCTGACGGACTTGCTGAAATTCCTGGCTTCCAAGTTCCACAGCTCCATTCGCAGGAACGTCTTTCACATTTACCGAATAATTCAACCTGTGGCACCAGATTAGGCTTAGGTGGTGGCGATTGATTTGTGATTCTGAACTGACGATTTATAGAAAGCATTCTTGTTTTTACTTGATCTACAATACAATGTATCGAGTCTATCGACTGGCTTATGGACGGACAACGGTACCCTCTATCAACGACGGAAGGTTGCGACCTCGTTCTCCTTGTCCCGTGTCATGATCCACCGACAATTACTTCCCATAGGGGTAGGAATTTCAAACTGGATCGATAAGGACATTGATTGTCTAGGCACCGAGGCTCACGCGTCTCATTCTTGCGTGCGTGTGACTTGCGCCGTTATAACAGCGCACGGGTACACCTTTTGCAGTACCAGACGATTCAGTTGATCAGCAGAATACGGCAGATGCAAAGATTTAGATTCCAAGGACTCCGCGGAACTGTGAGTGCCAATAATGGATGAATTGTCGCGGGCTTGGTGAGATGCTATGAGGGTGTTTATGTTGGGCTTCTTTGCATCCCTGCAAGTTCGCCCAGGAATATTTTTGACACTTTCAGCTGAAGTCGCCGCGGACAGTCTTGCCTGCAATAGTAGTCTCTGGCCCCTGGGTATCTTGAGCTTAATGACGCTTAAATCAGATTCTCAGGTGCTTACAGTTGTTTGTGTGTTGTTCAGCAGGGGATCCAGACACTGAAGGTGAGACTAGTGGCACGGCAGCTATCTTTGAGCACGCGCTTGTCGCAGTCAGTGACGTAGGGAGGTTCACGGATAGCGAGAAACTCGGCGGCGGGGGTTACCTGCAAGCAGGTACCCGTATCAGATAGACGCACAGACGTTTGCCGTCATCGCCAACTAACTTAACTGAAAACGGGGTCCGTTTTTCGCATGAAGAGGTACGCGTGTCCAAAGAGTCTCATGCACACGGCCATTTTCATCCGATGAGTTACGTCCTCGTCACGGTGAAGCCCCTTTATTGTCAGCATTGAGGTGAATGAACGTTGAGAGGTACCGCACGGAGCGTATTGAGTCACACAATCAATTTGGTTTTCCGATAATAGTACTCTGCCTGTAGCTAGACACGGTGCCTCTGCGACATTTTCTCGCAGTGGCTAATCTGGGCAGTTCCCCCGGGCCGCCATTTTCGCTCCCGCCCGGTTCCTTGCCATCTAGCAAGCTCCACACGCTACCGATTACGACGAGAGCGCGTTGTTCAGGGTCACCGAACGACTCACCGCCGCAAATTTCGCCCGAGGGCACTAGGTGTTCCGCGCATAGGGTCATGCCCTATAGCAGGATAACAAATTCACCCTGCGAAAACTGCCCGGATATGTCAAGGACAGGCTTAGTTGTAGATCTCTGTCATACATGGATGACACTTGGAAGCAGAGCATTAGCTCCTCTTCTAGGAGCCTTCTCATAGCATTATGTGCATGGGACTCGGATCTAGATGTGTGACTTGATCGAGTTGCCCGCGCGCGTGCTAGTTAAACGCACATGGACACTTTTGATATCAATGGAATTCGGAGGGTGTAATCTCCATTTTACTTAGAGTTTTTCGGTGCTGTCCCCGTCTGAAACACGAAACCGAAGAATATACACTCGTGACCAGTGATGGTCCGCCTATGACACAAGCCCGCAGGTCACCAGTCCACGCCACCCATCGGTTGGGAATATCAACACAGAGAGCTGGGGCAGTACAGAACTTCCTACAGGGCCATCATATTCAGCAAAGCATCGGAAGACCAAAAGTGGATGAGATGCGAACTAGCTTAGACACCCCCGACGGAGTCAACCTTAACGGGGACATGTAGAGTTCAATAGCGATGGTGCATTTAGTAAGATTTGACCACGGTGGCATCGCTGCATACTGCTGGATGACAGTGCGGAGACCTGCTCGTGGTGTTCCATCAATATAGGATGATATCGAAGGACAGAACTTTGTGTACATTACATAAACACAGCATTGCCGCAGCTTCATCGCAATGGACAGCATCCCATCATCGTTGCGGCTTCACTACGGATAGCCAGAGATAAGCCAAAGTGTAAATGAACAAATTCTCAAGGTAGAAATGCGCCCCAAGGCGCATCATTACGACCATCCCATCTCTGATAAGATTAGAACACTCGTTTGTATCTCTCCGTGCTTCGCAGACTGTCCAGGAATTTGAATGTATGTATTTTTATTGGATGGTTATTTCAACACTTCATTATATTCGCCATGGTGGCGTCGACGGCGGAGTATTCGACCGGGACTGAATGTTGTATTTCAAAGATATGCACAGCCGAACCTTCCACGCTACTGCCAAAGCGGATGGATTGCAATGTGCTTGGTAAAGTTTGTACGACAGGTGATGTCAGTAAGCGTCTGGGGCCTTGAGAATGCTAAGACGACATTGGCTCACCTTGAAGTGCCAAGTTCGACGCGGTACATCTAGTACACTATTCTTGTGGTTATCGTGGTCGACGTCGTCACACGGTCGTTAAAATGGTACATCGGGTGCGTTGGTCAGGTCATCCCAATGTTTCATCCTGTGAAAGCGTTTCGATCGTGTCAGCGAAAAGTCGATGACATGAACCTCACCAAAATTAGCACATGTGATCATATATTCGCAAATGCTGTGGTTTTGTGAGAAAGTGGGAGCGTAGAAGTCCGCATAATCTTCTTCGTGTATTCGACCAGTACCGACTCAGAGAACTGGTCATGACGGAATCGACGCACGGACAACAGAGAAGACTTGCGCAACGTGCGAAAGTTCTCATTGAAAAAAGCGAGGTGCCCCATTAGCTTCTTTATTTAGAAGGGACGACTGTCGTCCATAAGGGTCCGGATAGGGGAGATTACTTTGATCCTATCAGTGGCACTGAGGATGCTAGGCGTAATCGATGTTCAGGCCCAGGCTGCACTAGTCTAGCAGTTTGGTATAGCCTATAGTGCTTCCATTATTCCATGGCATTGTTGCTGACAGACAGCTACGAACGTTCGACATCGACTTGTTCGAATATATCGACACCCTTGCGCCTTGACTTGACTCGAGTTGGATGAATGATGAACGATTTCCATTGGCTGACTGCGCCTTATTACTTTCATTACATAACCCCAAGATTCGCGGAGTTTGAACACCACGGTCGTGGTTTGTCATCTAGTCAGCACACCCTGAGCCGAAACCCTCAACGACTGACGATTGAGAACGTGGAAACCATGAGCACTGCGAGCGTCCAAAATTTGGAGGAAGCTGTTACGATAGCGTCAGAGTTCATAATGAGTGAGCCAACCTCAGAGTTCATGTGATTTGGCAAGCTAAAGAGGCTCGATAATCAGCTCTTGATAACTTGCCTAGCGAAGTACAATTTCTGCTGCAAGAGCTTCGTTCGAAAGAGACCGATTCTCAAGGTATGCAGCTACAATATTGCAGACTCTGACAAAACATTTATTTATATTGAAGACATTCAGAATGATCTAGCCAAAGAAGCTCATAAATATATGCGACATGTCCTACGATCAGACGGCACGGACCCCGTTTCGAAAGAGAGGGATAGGACGATAGCACCACCGACTGAGAAACTGAAGGATGCTCAAGAGAAACTTGCGGCGCTTTCAGACGAGAAAATTGCTCTTGCCTCTCGTATTGTCGACCTACTCTCTAGGAAGCGGGCCCGGTTAGAATACGATCTGGGCCGTGTCCTTGTTCTACAAGGAGAAACAGATCCAGCATCTGTCTTCGCCGGTGCCGCATCTTCGACTCCTGTTTCTGTATCAGGACTTGGTAGTGGCACTGCCGGCTATGTGCTTGGAGGACGCAATCCAGCCGCTCAAATTAATGAAAGCTTGCGAAATGCGTTCGCTGGCGGTACCGCCACCCCTTTGGCAAGTGGCTCAGGAAGCATGGCCTCTGTCGGAGGGCGTGCTTCGGTTGCTGGAGAAGACAATGCTTTTAAAAGTGAGTTTGCGCTTGTGCCATTGAACTCTGGTGCTGAACGTTAGATTCAAGAACGGAGATTGATGGGGACGCAGGGATCTATCAAGCTGCCATCACCGGCACCGTCTGCCTATGTACCGTCTACTCGAGGTCGCCGGAGAAGACGGGGAGCTTCATCTGAGGCTGAAGACTTCGATTTTGATTATGGAGATGAAACTCAAGGTGCAGAGGAAGCAGAAGCAGAGGAAGGTGATGGCGAGGAGGGCGAAGATGGCGAAGACAAGGAACTGTACTGCTTCTGTCAGAAGCTGAGTTACGGAGAAATGATCGCGTGTGACAACCCAGATTGCCCGTATCAATGGGTAAGCCTAATATTTCAGCTTTTGGCAACCGTGATCTGACACGTTTGTAGTTTCACCTCCCTTGTGTCAACCTCAAGCAACCACTCCCCGAGAGTTGGTTCTGTGACGACTGCATTAGAAAGATGGGTCCTCCTGCATCTGGTCCTGGCCGTAAGGGCCGGAAGAAATAGAGCTTCCTCCCCTCACCATTTCGGGCTTTCCCTTACTATGTCCGTCCTTGGCAACGTTCGTGGCAGTGGAGTACGGGATAGAACCCAGCCAGATATGACCGAGTAAACCGAGAGTACACTCACGACACAGGCTGAAGTAAAATCAAGTCACAGGTCCTCAAGCAGGGCGTCTACTGTGAGAGCATTCGTCCATAATGGAATACTTCCTTCTCGCCGTGATCGTGATGGACCTCAATCCGTACGTTTGCTTGTTGTCTTACTTGGTTGTTGCTTGGTCTTCTGCTTTTGTAGTATACTGAGTGCCTCTCGGTGGCCTGTGCATGTGGCTTCGGAGCTGTCTAGGTTCCGTTGGAAGCATGGATCCACAAGTAGATTGTACTCGTGTACATGTGGTGAGGTGGTCGACTCCTGAATAAGAATTGTTCCTGCCTTCATCAATAAGCGCTGTCAGTCCATTCTGAATTTCCCGCGTTTGAAACTAAACGTATGTGTGTGGCCTAGTCTCGCCAAGTAAATTCCAAGACCAAGCCTCCCACAGCGCAGACTACATTGCCGCCGGCGTACCTGTTATGTGGGGTCATTCGCTACACGTTCAGGTTTCCGTTGGTTTGCTCAAAGCGAAGAACCTTATTGTTGACGTGCCCGTTGAGTGGCGTAGCGCTGCTCTCAAAACAGATTTGTATAAGCAGCACAAGCGTAACGGCCTGTACTAATTACTCATATGTTCGTGATTGGTTTAGATCTAAGATAGCTAGCTACTGACCATAGGGGAATAACTCCCATGACTCGCTCTCCACGTGTGATGACTGTAGTGGCGTTTTGCAGGCACCGACATTCTTATTGTGGCGCGAGACCCACGTAGTAGGCCACCGTCGGATGCCATGGATGGTAGAACGCACATTAAGGCTCAGCTGAGTTGTTAGCTTAGACCAAAGAAGGAGCCTTCTTTTGTCTTTAAGATGAAGCTCTTACATACTTGAAAATGGAAGCCGGGTGAAACTTGCAACCGCGAGCCACAAACGACGACCGACCTGCACCCACTCTTGGCCCACGATTAATGGCTGAGGGCATAATTACAATATGCCATAACGCGGGCTTACAACTGTATTTTTACTTCACGAGCACCCTGGTTGCGATGTATCGATGCTAGGACCGCGGTTAGATATAATGCCGTGATGTCAAGTCTTTTCCATGTCTATCTAACCAACGATCGTATGCTCGGTGATGCCGGAGGCGTAACTGTGTGAATGAAGTGAAAGCTATCGACTGGTTCGCTGGCATCGGCTTTCCGTCATGTCTCTACTCCATCCGAAGCTCTGGGTAACCGACCTCGGGTAGAACATGGGCGCAAATGTTCTCTAATGAAAATCTCGCTAGAGGGTCAGGCTCACACTAAATTACTCGTATGTAACTTAATACAGAACAGGGTTACACGCTCGTCCCGACTTCTTTTCCTTCCAGATTACGGCACCATGATATGGCGGCGCGTTCACGGGTAACGTAAGTCTCCTCCTGCCGCCACACGACCGTCCCCGGCGGTGATCTATTGTACGTA